ACTATTCTAGGGTAACAGTTTTTTTCCCTTCAACACTTTAAATATGTCATGCTACACTCTCTTGGACTGTAAGGTTTCCACTGAAAAGTCTGCTGTCAGACATATTGCAGCTCTATTGTATTTGTGTCTTTTTTCTTGCTGCTTTAAGCATCCTTTGTTTATCCTTGGTCTTTGAAAGCTTGATTATTAAATGCCTTGAGGTAGTCTTTGAGTTAAATATGCTTGAAGTTATATAACCTTCTTGTATTTGAATGTTAATAACTTTCTCTAGATTTGAAAAGATCTCTGTTATTATCCTGTTGAATAAACTTTGTACCCTTATCTCTTCCTCTATCTCATTTTTAAGGCCAATAACTCTTAAATTTGACATTTTGAGGCTGTTTTCTAGATCCTGTAGGCAAGTTTTGTGGTTTTATATTTTTTTCTTTTGTCTCTCCAGTGTATTTTCAAATAGTCTGTTGTCAATCTCACTCTTCTTGATCAGTTCTGCTATTAAGAGACTCTGATACATTCTTCAGTATGCCAACTGCACTTTTTAGATCCAGAATTTCTGCTTGATTTTTAAAATTATTTCAATCTCTTATAAATTAATCTGATAAAATTCTGAATTTCTTCTCTGTGTTATCTTGAATTTGAGTTTCCTCAACACAACTATTTTGAATTCCCTGTCTGAAAAGTTACATATCTCTGTTTCTCCAAGATTGGTCCCTGGTGCCTTATTTACTTCATTTTGGTGAGGTCATGTTTTCCTGGGTGGTGTTGAAGCTAGTAAATATTCTTTGGTATCTGGACATTGAAATGATTGATATTTAATTTTAGTTTTCACAATCTGGACTTGTTTGTACCCGTCCTTATTTGAAAAGCTTTCCAGAAATTAAAAAGGACTTGGATGTTTTGATCTAAGCTGTATCTGCTTTAGGGAACACCCAAATCTTAGTAATGCTGCAGTTCTTGCAGACTTATAGAAGTTGCGCCTTGATGGTCATAAATGAGATTTGGGGGAATTTTCTGGATTACCAGGCAGAGACTCTTGCTCTTTCCCATTATTTTCTCCTAAACATATAGAGTCTCTTTCTCTGTTCCAAGCCACTTAAACCTGGGGTTGGAAGTATACAAGCTTCCCTGTGGCCATCATCACTAGGACTAGGACCATGCTGGGTCAGACCTGAAGCCAGCACAGCACTGGGTCTCACTCAAGGCTCACTGTAAACACTTCCTGGCTACTGCTTATATTCACTCAAGGCCCTGGGACTCTATAATCAGCAAGTGGCAAAGCCAGCCAGGCCTGTGTCCGTCCCTTCAGGGAAGTGAGTTCTCCCAGGTCCAGGTGGGTCCATAGGTGTCATCTAGGAGTCAGGAAATAGAGTGACAAAACTTAGAAGTCTACCTTGTGTTCTATTGTATTGTGGCTGAGCTGGCACTGAAACCACAACACACAGTTCTTTCAAATCTTCCTTCTCCTTTCCAAAGGAAAAGAACCTTCACTCTGTAGCAACCACCACCTTAGGCCATGAGGAGTTCTGTCTGACTACCACCAATGTTCCCTTAAGGCCCAAGAGCTCTGACATCAGCTTTTGGTGAATGCTGCCTGGCCTGGAACTTACCCTTCAGGGAAAAGGGTTCCCTTCTGGCCCAGGGCAGGTCCAGAGATGCCATCCAAGAGTGAAGTCCTGAAATTGAGGACTCCAAGAGCCCACTTGGTGATATATCCTCCTGTAGTCATGCTGATATCTGAAGCCAACAAATTTCAGAGGCTTGCTCAAGGCCATTGATGTAGCTCAGGGTCCAAGGCCTCTTCAGTTATCAGGTGATAAATGCTGCCAAGACTGGGTCCTTCTCTTCAAGGCCGTGGGTTCCCTTCTGGCTCAGGGCATGTTTTGAGATGTCATAAGGAAACTAGAGCCTGAAATGGGGGTCTCATGACTCTGGTCATTGCCCTATCCTGCTGTGGCTGAGGTGGTATCTAAGATGTAAGGCAAAGTCCTCTTCACTTTTCCCATTACTCTCCTAAAGCAGAAGGAAGGGATCTGTTTTGGAGCCTCAAGCTTTGCAGCCTGTGGTTAGAAATGTGGTGATTTCAGAACTCCCTTAACTGTCCTGGCTGGTGTTTCAGTAGATCATGTGGCCTCCCAGTCCACCATCTCTGGGCTCAGTTTAGCCCTAGGACCTGCCTAAGAGTTGCAGTCCTGATGACCTAGAATGCTTTTCTAGTTTACTCAGAGATACAGAGCACTTTGTCCCCCAGTAGCGAGGTGTGAGGGAACTCAAGTTCAGACCACTAGGCTAGGTGATTCCCCTCTGGCTAAGGCTGCTTTAAATGCTCCCTCCATTAGCTCAACAGGTGAGCTTGGTCTGGTTTTCCTCTCTGCTCTTAAAGGATAGCACTGAGATTAATGCCTCACAATTGCTGTGCTCGCCTTCCTCCAGCATCCAAAGAAGCTCTCTGTACCACACTGCTGCTGCCAAGGGTGGGGAAAGGGTGGCATTCAAGATTCAGGAATGTTTTTTTTTTTTTCTATCTCTTTAGTGCATCTTTAAGCACTATAGAGTTAAAACCAGGTATTATGAGGGCTCACCTGATTTTTGGTTCTAATGAAGGTTTTTGTTTTGTTTTGTTTTTTCCTCTGTAGATAGTAATTAAATTGGTGTCCCTGTGAAGGTGATGACTGGTGGAGACTTCTATTCTGCCATCTTGGTCCTCTCTGAAAATGCATTTTGTAATATTGTTTCCTTGGAAAATATGTTTGCAGCTGCAGAAAAATAACTAACATTACCTTTGGATTAAACACCTATACTGAGTACTGCCTTGAAATGATTACCTACTATGAAGTACAATCTGATCCAAAATAGTGGTAAATTCTTCCCTGAGATGAATTATCACCTAGGTAGAGATTATTATCCAGATTAAGTAAACTGAAAAATGAAGCTGTTGAATCTTCTTTTCATTTTCTGTGCTTTGCGTTAGAACATCTCCCCAAAGAGTCAGGGTTTTTATTTAGGAATAAAATGACTGGACTTCGCTTTTAGGAGTATAATTCAGTAACAATGAGTAGAAGAACTAAGTAGATGGCTTTCCCGTCTTCCCCTTGCAAATTTTTTGAAGATTCTGCATTGAAATAATTATAACACTTTGATTTCAATCAACATTATTAAAATCTTTACAAGCATAAAAAGGTGAATTCCATACAATTTGTTAGACTGATGAAAAATCTGTAGCATTACTGTCTAAAAATAACAGAATTTGAGAAGAGAATGACAATAACAAGTTATAGATAAGTTCCCTTAAGAGATTCCAGAGTCTTTTTAAAAGCACCAGATGAGGCATAGATCTGATGATCTTGAGTTTATTTCCTACTCTGAAATTTTAAAATTCTCAGATTTCTAAAATTCTCTGAGTTGTCTATCCATAAACCAGTTTCTCACAGCCAACTCTATGGGCACATATAACATATATTCCCACTTTCATACTTTGGCAAAATAACAATAACAGCACTGATAACACTGATTGATGCTTTGGTATTTTTTGTTTATTTTAAATATTTTTTATTTTAAAATACTGTTTACTTTTTACTATAGTCACTCTGTTGTGCTAGCAAATACTAGGTGTCATTTATTCTATTTTTTTTTGTACCCGCTAACAATCCCCATTTTCCCTATCCCCCGACTACCATTCCCAGCCTCTTGTACCTACTCTTCTACTCTCTATTCCCATGGGTTCTGTTGTTTTTATTTTTGGATCCCACAAATAAGTGAGAACATGGGATGTTTGTCTTTCTGCCTGGCTTATTTTACTTAACATAATGACCCTCAGTTCCATCCATGTTGTTGCAGATGACAGAATCTCATTCTACTTTTATGGATGAGTAGTACTCAATTGTTTATATGTATTACATTGTCTTTATCCAGTCATCTGTTCAACACTTTGGTTGCTTCCAAATCTTGGCTATTGTGCATAGGGCTACAATAAACATGGGAGTGTAGACATATTTTTGATATACTGATTTACTTTCTTTTGGGTATATATCTAATAGTGGGATTGCTGTAACATATAGTAGTTCTTTTTTTCTTTTTTTGAGGAACTAATAAACTGTTTTTCATAGTGGTTGTACTAATTTACATTACCACCAACACTGTATGAGGTTTCCCTTTTCTCCACATTCTTGCCAGCATTTGTTATTGCCTGTCTTTTGAATAAAAGTCATTTTAACTGAGGTGAGATAATATTTTATTGCAGTTTTGATGTGCATTTCTCAGATGATCAATGATATTGAGCACCTTTTCATACACCTGTTTTCCATGTGTATGTCCTCTTTTGAGAAATGCCTATTCAGGACTTTTACCCATTTTAAAATCTGCTTATTATATTTTTCCTATAGAGTTGTTTGTTTTAGCTCCTATGTATTCTGATTACTAATCCATTGTCATATGAGTAGTTTGCAAATATTTTCTCTAATTCTGTAGGTTGTCCATGCATTTTGTTGATTGTTTTCTTTGCTGTGCAAAACTTGTGATCACATTTGTCCATTTTTGTGTTGGTTGCCAGTGCAATAAATAGCACTTAATAGTGTATTACTCAAGAAATCTTCACCCGGTCCAATGTTCTGGTGAATTTCCCCAGTGTTTGCTTTTAGTAGTTTCACAATTTGAGGTCTTAGATTTGAGTCTTTAATATGTTTGGATTTGAGTTTTGTATATGGTGAGAGACAGGGATCTAGTTTCATTCTTCTGCATATGGATATCTGGTTTTCTTAGCACCACTTACTGAAGAGACAATCCTTTCCCCAAAGTGTGTTCTTGGCACCTTTGTCAAAAATGAGTCCACTGCAGGTGAACAGGCTTATCTCTGAGTTCTCTATTCTGTTCCACTAGTCTATTTGTGTGTTTTTGTGCCAGTACCATGTCATTTTGGTTACTATAAGTATTAGTACATTTTCATGCTGCTATAAAGAAATAACTTAAAAATGGGTAATTTACAAATAAGAAAGGTTAAGTTGACTCACAGTTCTGCAGGCTTAGCAGGAAGCGTGACTGGGCAGCCTCAGAAAAGTTACAATCATGGTGGAAGGTGACGGGAAAGCACACGCATCTTCGCAATGGTGGAAGCATGCACATCTTCACAATGGGCAGGACAGGAGAGAGAGTGAGGGTGTAAATGTCACACTTTTAAGCCGTCAGATCTTGTAAGAACTCATTCACTATCGTGAGAACTGCACGGGGGAAATCCACCCCAATGATCCAATTACTACCCACCAGGTCCCTTCCCTGACACATGGGGATTACAATTTGAAACAAGATTTGTGTGGGGACACAGCCAAATCATATCACTATAGTTCTGTAGTATAATTTGAAATAAGGTAATGTGATTACTCCAGTTTTGTTCTTTTTGCTCAGGATAGCTTTGGCTATTCTGGGTCTGTTATGGTTCCCCATAAAATTTTGAATGCTTTTTTCTATTTCTGTAAAAGTATCAACGGTATTTGGATAGGGGTTGCATTAAATCTATAGATTGCTTTGGGTAGAATGGACACTTTAATATATGGATTATTCCCATCCACAAACAGAGAATACTTTTCCGGATTTTGGTGTTCTTTTTAATTTCTTGCATCCATGTGTTTTAATTTTAATTTAAAAAAATTTCACTTCTTTGGCTAAGTTACTTCATTCTACATATTTTTTTTTCCATTTGTAGCTATTGTAAATGGGATTACCTTCATGATTTCTTTTTCAGATTATTCTATGTGGGCATATAGAAATGCTATTGATTTTTAATGTTAACTTTGTATCCTGCAAATTTATTGAATTTGTTTATCATTTCTAATAGATTTTTGGTAAAGTCTCTAGGTTTTGTGAAGTACAAAATGATATCATCTGCAAACAAGAATAGTTTGACTTATTTAATTTTAATTTGGATGTTCTTCATTTCTTTCTCTTGTCTGATTGCTCTAGCTTGGACTTCTAGTACTATGTTGAATAACAGTGGAGAAAGTGAGCATCGTTGTTGTATTCCTGATCTTAGAGGAAAGGCCTTCAGGTTTTCCCCATTCGGTATAATACTAGCTATGGGTCTATTGCATATGCTTTTTATCATATTGAGATACGATTCTTCTATACCTAGCTTTTTGAGGGTGTTATTCTATTATGAAATGATGTTGAATTCAGTGAATCTCTCTCAGAAACCCTACAAGTCAGAAGACAGTGGGGCCCAATGTTCAATATTTTTAAAGAAAAGAATTTTCAACCCAAAATTTCATATCCAGCCAAACTAAGTTTCATAAGTGAAGGAGAAATAAAATTGTTTACAAGCAAGCAAATGCTGAGGGATTCTGTACCACCAGGCTGCCTTACAAGAACTCCTGAAGGAAGCACTAAATATGGGAAAGAAAACTGGTACCAGCCACTGCAAAAATACACCAAAATATAAAGAACTGTGACACAATGAATAAACTGAATCAACCAATGTGCAAAATAATAAGCTAGCATCATGATGACAGGATCAAACTCACATATAACAATATTAACATTAAATGTAAATGAACTAAATGCCCAAATTAAAAGACACAGACTGTCAAGTTGGATAAAGAGTCAAGACCCATAGGTGTGCAGTATTCAGGAGACCCATCTCACATGCAAAGATACATATAGGCTCAAAATAAAGGAATAGAGGAATATTTACCAAGCAAGTGAAAAGCAAAAAAAAGCCGAGGTTGCAATCCTAGTCTCTGATAAAGCAGACTTTAAACCAACAAAGATCAAAAAAAGACAAAGAAAGGCATTACATCATGGTAAAGGGATCAATGCAACAAGAAGAGCTAACTATCCTAAATATATATGCACCCAATACAGAAACACCTAGACTCATAAAACAAGTTCTTAGAGACCTACAAAGAGGCTTAGACTCCCACACAATAATAGTGGGAGACTTTAACACCACACTGTCAATATTAGACAGATCAATGAGACAGATTATTAACAAGAATATTCAGGACTTGAACTCAGTTCTGGACCAAGTGGACCTAATAGACATCTACACAACTCTCCACCCCAAATCAACAGAATATACATTCTTTTCAGCACCACATAGCACTTACTCTAAAATCAATCACATAATTGGAAGTAAAACACTTCTCAGCAAAGGCAAAAACAAAAACAAAAACAAAAAAAATGGAAATTATAACAAACTGTCTCAGACCACAATGCAATCAAATTAGAACTTAGGATTAAGAAACTCACTCAAAACCACACAACTATATGGAAACTGAACAATCTGCTTCTGAATAACTACTGGGTGAATAATGAAATTAAGGCAGAAATAAATAAGTTATTTGAAACCAATGAGAATGAAGACACAATGTACCAGAATCTCTGAAACACAGTTAAGCAGTGTTTAGAGGAAAATTTATAGCACCAACTACCCACATCAGAAAGCAGAAAAGATCTAAAATCAACACCCTGACATCACAGTTAAAATAACTAGAGAAGCAAGAGCAAACAAATTCAAAAGCTAGCAGAAGACAAGAAATAACTAAGATCAGAGTGGAACTGAAGAAGATGGAGACACAAAAAACCCTTCAAAAATCCATGAATTCAGGAGGTGGTTTTCTGAAAAGATTAACAAAATGGATAGACCAATAGCCAGACTAACAAAGAATAAAAGAGAGAAGAATCAAATTGACTCAATAAAAATGATAAAGGGGACATCACCACTGATCCCACAGAAATACAACCTACCATCAGAGAATATTATAAACACCTCTACACAAATAAACTAGGAAACCTAGAAGAAATCAATAAATTCCTGGACACGTACACCTTCCCAATACTAAACCCGAAAGAAGTCACATCCCTGAATAGACCAATAACAAGTTCTAAAATTGAGGCAGTAATTAACAGCCTACCAACCAAAAGAAAGGCCAGGACCAGACAGATTCACAGCCAAATTCTACCAGAGGTGCAAAGAGGAGCTGGTACGATTTCTTCTGAAACTATTCCAAATGATAGAAAAACAGGGACTTCTCCATAACTCAATTTATGAGGCCAGCATCATCCTGATTCCAAAACCTGGCAAAGACACAACAAAAAAAGAAAATTTCAGGCCAATATCCCTGATGAACATCCATGCGAAAATTCTCAATAAAATACTGGCAAAACAAATTCAGCAGCAAATCAAGTTGGCTTCATCCCTGAGATGCAAGGTTGGTCCAACATACGCAAATCAATAAATGTACTCCATCACATAAACAGAGCCAATGACAAAAAACACATTATTATCTCAATAGATGCAGAAAAGGCCTTTGGTAAAATTCAACACCCTTCATGCTAAAAACTCTCAATAAACTAGGCATTGATGGAACATATCTCAAAATAATAAGAGCTGTTTATGACAAACCCACAGCCAATATCATACTGAATGGGCGAAAGCTGGAAGCATTCCCTTTGAAAACTGGCACAGGACAAGGATGCCTTATCTCACCACTCCTATTCAACATAGTATTGGAAGTTCTGGCCAGGGCAATCAGGCAAGAGAAAGAAATAAAGGGTATTCAAATAGGAAGAGAGGAAGTCAAATTGTCTCTGCAGATGACATGATTTTATATTTAGAAAACCTCATCATCTCAGCCCAAAAACTCCTTAAGTTGATAAGCATCTTCAGCAAAGTCTCAAGATACAAAATCAATGTGCAAAAATCACAAGCATTCCTATATATCAATAATAGACAGAGAACCAAATCATAATTGAACTCCCATTCACAACTGCTACAACGAGAATAAAATACCTAGAAATACAGCTTAACAACTCAGAAGGGACCTGAAGGACCTCTTCAAGGAGAACTACAAGCCACTGCCCAAGGAAATAAGAGAGGAGACAAATGGAAAAACATTCCATGCATATGGATAGGAAGAATTAATATCATGAAAATGACCACACTGTCCAAAATAATTTATAGATTCAATTCTATTTCCATCAAGCTACCATTGACTTTCCTCACAGAACTAGAAAAAAACTACTTTAAATTTAATATGGAACCAAAAAAGAGCCTATATACCCAAGACAATCCTAAGTAAAAAGAACAAAGCCAGAGGCATTATGCTACCTGACTTCAAACTATGCTACAAGGCTACAGTAACCAAAACAGCATAATACTGGTACCAAATCAGATATATAGATCAATAGAACCGAACACAGGCCTCAGAAATAACACCACACATCTACAACCATCTGATCTTTGACAAACCTGACAAAAACAAGCAATGGGGGAAAGGATTCCCTGTTTAATAAATGGTGTTGGGAAAACTGGCTAGACATATGCAGAAAACAGAAACTGGAGCCCTTCCTTACACCTTATACAAAAATTAACTCAAGATGGATTAAAGACTGAAATGTAAAACCTAAAACCATAAAAACCTTAGAAGAAAGCCTAGGCAATACCATTCAAGACATAGGCATGGGCAAAGACTTCATGGTTAAAACACAAAAAGCGATGGCAATAAAAGCCAAAATTGTCAAATGGCATATAATTAAATTAAAGAGCTTCTGCACAGCAAAAGAAACTATCTGAGTGAACAGGCAACCTACAGAATGGGAGAAAATGTTTGCAATCTATCAGCCTGACAAAGGTCTAATATCCAGAATTGACAAGGAACTTAAACAAATTTACAAGATAAACAAACAATCCCATCAAAAATTGGGTGAAGGATATGAACAGACACTTCTCAAAAGAAGACATTTATGTAGCCAACAAACATGAAAAAAAGCTCATCATCACTGGTCATTAGAGAAATGCAAATCAAAACCACAATGCGACACCATCTCACACTAGTTAGAATAGAGATTATTAAAAAGTCTGGAAACAACAGATGCTGGAGAGGATGCAGAGAAATTGGAATGCTTTTACACTTTTGGTGGTAGTGTAAATCAGTTCAATCATTGTGTTAGACAGTGTGGCAATTCCTCAAGCATCTAGAACCAGAAATACCATGTGACCCAGCAATCCCATTACTGGGTATATACCCAAAAAATTATAAATCATTCTACTATCAAGACACATGTACACGTATGTTTATTGCATATATTGCACTTACACACCATGAAATACCATGCAGTCATAAAAAAGA